TTATTATTATTATTATTATTATTATTATTATTATTATTAATTCCTCAGCCAGGCACGCTGGCTGAGGAATTCTGGGAATTGAAGTCCACTCCTCTTAAAGTCCGTATCAGGGGTCTTCCAACTTGGCCCTTTGATGACTGGTGGACTTCAACTCCCAGAATTCCTCAGCCAGGCACGCGTGCCTGGCTGAGGAATCCTGGGAGTTGAAGTCCACCAGTCATCAAAGGGCCAAGTTGGAAGACCCCTGGACTAGATGGACATCCCTAGCCTTCCTGTCCTGGGGGACCTTCTCCCCAGGGATTCAGCTCCAGGGCTTTGGACTCCTGCAGGTGAAGGATCTGGAGAGCCAGTTGGCGGGACGGCCACTGCCAGTGGAGCTGGCCAGGCTGCAGGCAACGTTGGCCACAGCAGAGGAAGGAAAGGCGCACCTGGAGGAGCGCCTTCTCCGGGCCGAGGAGAAATGCGCCAGCCTGGAGCGAAAAGGTCAGAGGTTTGCTGGTCTGGCGTGGAGTCCAAGGAATGTTGGGGAAAGGAGATGGGAAAGAGGAGAACACAAAGTCCCCTTGCTGGACCACAGGCTGGCCAGTGGCACTTCAGCCTGGCCTGTTGTGGGAACACCACTGCAGGCCAGCTCAGAGTTTGGGTAACTCTCTCGATTGGTCCGAGACTTGAGGGGGTCCTGGGTGCCCTCTGAGCTGGGTGGATTCCTTGTAGACATTTCGTGACCCAACTAGGTAACCTCATCAGTGCAATGCTTGAGAAATGAAATGTCAGAGAGAAAACCACCAAGCTCAGAGAGCATCAAGGAGGCCAACGTCATTTTCCTCCTCCCTCCCTCCTCCTTTCCACATACCCCCCCCCCATCCTTCTGGCACTGATGATGTTACCTAGTTGGGTCATGAAATGTCTGCAAGAAAACCACCCAGAGACACCAAAGACCCCATAGCCCTCCTCCTCTTCTTCCTCCTTCCGTTCCTCCTTCCTCTCCTCCTCTTCTTCCCCTCCTCCTCTCTGCAAACCCTACTCCCTTCTAGCCCTGATGCTATTACCTAGTTTGGTCGTGAAACGTCTGCAAGAAAGCCACTAAGCTCAGAGGGGATGGCTGCTGCTGCTGCTGCTGCTGCTGCTTCTTCTTCTTCTTCTTCTTCTTCTTCTTCTTCTTCTTCTTCTTCTTCTTCTTCTTCTTCTTCTTCTTCTTCTTCTTCTTCTTCTTCTTCTTCTTCTTCTTCTTCTTCTTCTTCTTCTTCTTCTTCTTCTTCTTCTTCTTCTTCTTCTTCTTCTTCTTCTTCTTCTTCTTCNGGGGGTCTCTTCTCTGAAACAGCCCATCTCCCCTCCCTCCAATCAAAAAGACCCCCCCCCCAAATGAAGGGGGGTGTTCTGGACCAATCAGTTAGATGGGTCTGTATGTTAGAATGTTTGGCATTTATTGGGTTAAGCGCTGTCTCCTTAAGAGATGGCTTATCGGTAATGTAGTTTAGCTATTCAGTTATCTTAAAAGAATTGAACCGCCAATATTCCCATTTTAGGCCAAAGTTTCCCAGCTTCAGCCAGTCCGGATTCCTGAGTCACCCGGGACTGGGCAGCTGGTCACCCCCGGGGAGAGGGGGCACCTAGGGGGCTCCTGGGCAGTCCAGTTCCGCTTCCTTTTGCTACAGATAGTCCTCAGCTTATGACCGCAACCGAGTCCAAAATTTCCATCGCTAAGCGAAACAGTTAAGTGAGTTTTGCCCCAGTTTACGATCTTTTCTGCCATTGTTTTCAAGCCGATCCCTGCAGTCGTTAAGCGGGCCACCCAGTTGTTAAGTGAATCCGGTTTCCCCCACTGACTCTGCTGGTCGCAAAAGGGGATGGCCTTTTGTGTAACCGTCACAAATAGTTGCCCAGCATGTGAATTTTGACCATGTGGCGACAGACAGGCCGCAACGGTGGGAAGTAGGAAAACTGGTGCTAAGTCCCTTTTTTCAGGGCTGCTGCATCTTCCAACGGTCACTAAATGGATGGTCGTAAGTCAAGGCCTTCCTGTAGCTCCCCGGTGTGCCTGCCGAGAGGGTTTCCTAGTGGTGCCCCATCCGCTCTTTGGGAGCAGCCAGAAGCACCAGGTGCTGCCCCCCCCAGGATGCAGGTGGCCAGGAGTGCTGGGTGAAGCCAGGGGGGGGAGTTCTGGGAGGGGGGGGCTGCAGGGCAGGGAAGCTGGACCCCAGCTGGAAGAGGGGGGGAGGAACATCTGGAAAAGCTTGACCTTCCCTCTTTCCCTGCCCCTGCAGCCCCCTGATGGCCCTCCGGGAGAGGAAAGGCGCACAGCAGGCGAAAAGGGGTAAGTGAGGATGGGGGCAACTAGGAACCCCGGCACCTGGCCCCAACACCACCCCCCAGGGATGGGGGATGGGATTGTTCAGAAAGTCTCCCCAAGGAGAGTCGTCTTCTGCTCTCATAACCTGGATGGATGGATGGATGGATGGATGGATGGATGGATGGATGGATGGATGGATGGATGGATGGAAGGAAGGAAGGAAGGAAGGATGGATGGAAGGAAGGAAGGAAGGAAGGAAGGAAAAAGTGAGGAAGGAAGGAAAAGCTGTGAAGAAGGAAGGAAGGGAGAGAGGGAGGGAGGAATGAAAGGAAGGAAGAAGGAAGGAAGAAGGAAGGAAAAGGAAAAAGTGAGTGAGGAAGGGAAGGAGGGAGGAAGGAAAAGCTGTGAGGAAGGAAGGAAGGGAGAGAGGGAGGGAGGGAGGAAGAAAGGAAGGGAGGGAGGAAGGAATGAAAGGAAGGAAGGAAGAAGAAAGGAAGGAAGGAAAGAAGGAAGGAAGGAAAGAAGGAAGGAAGGAAGGAAGGGAGAGAGGGAGGGAGGAAAGAAGGGAGGGAGGGAGGGAGGAAGGAATGAAAGGAAGGAAGGAAGAAGAAAGGAAGGAAGGAAGGAAGGAAAAGGAAAAAGTGAGTGAGGAAGGAAGGAAGGAAGGAAAATTATAAAATTAGGAAGCCTCCATATCATAAATGCAAGTCAGTCGCCAAGCCTCTGAATTTTGATATCATGACTGTGGGGGACGCTGCAATGGTCGTAAGTGTGAGAAAGGGCCCTAAACCCCATTTTCCAGTGCCGTTGCAACTTTGAACGGTCACTAAATGAACCGTCATAAGTCGAGGACAGCCGACTTACTAGTAAATCGGAGGGCCGATTTGTCCTCTCCCTGTGGGCAGGAGACCTCCGCTCGGACGAGGCCGCGGCCAAAGCCCTGGAGGAGATGATGGCCCGGATCAAGGGCGGAGTGGCGCTGCGGCCAGTGAGGCGGGGGGGCGAGTCCCCCTCCCAGGTAAGGCGAGGCCAGGGATGGGGTCACGGACTGGAGGGGAAAGGTAGGGGGGAAGCAGTCAAAGCGCCCACAAAATCCCACCATAGTTCAGCCAATTCAGGTAGTCCTCGACTTACGGCCACAATTGAGCCCAACATGTTGCTAAGCGAGACAAAGGGAGCTTTGTTCCATTTTACGACCTTCCTGTCCACAGTTCTTGTGTGAATCCCTGCGGCTGTCAATTTTAGCAACACGGTCGTTAAGGGAATCACGTTTCCCCCCTCGCCAAAGGGGATCACGTGCCACACACCCCCGGGACGCCACGACCGTCATAAATACGAGTCCCTTGCCAAGCGTCTTAGGTTTTGATCACCTGACCGCGGGGACGGTGCAATGGGGTTGTGTGAACCAAACGGTCCTATTTTCAGGGCCGTCGTAACTTTGGACGGACACTAAATGCGGCCGTTGTAAGCCAAGGACTGCCTGTGTTTCACGCCCTCTTCGGCACGGGGGGCTGAGGAATTGCGAGAAGGCCACAACGTGGCAACCCCCCTGGATTGTGGAACGGTCCCGATCCTGCCAGGGGTGGGTCTCCTCGGGGTCCCTCTTCCAAACGGCGTCTGAGTGAAGCGCCAGCTAACCGGATTTCCCCCCCCCCATTTTTCTCTTAGCCCCCGTCTGCCGCGGTGAACAAGCGGAGGAGCGCGGCCGTGGAGCTGCAAGACCTGCTGGTGAGAGTCAATTGTGGGTTTGTGTGTCTGCACGACCTTGAGGGCAGCAGCCTACGCAGGGAGTCCTCAGTTTACGACGGTTTGTTTAGCGACCAACGTTACAACGGCGCTGACAAGAGTGACTGATGACCAATTTTCACACGACTGTTGTAGCCTCCCCAGGGTCACGTGATCAAAATTCAGACGCTGGACCACTGACTCACACTAACGACGGTCGCAGTGTCCCGGGGTGGTGCGATTCCCCTTCTGCCACAAGCAAAGTCAAAGGGGTCGTTTAACGACCGTGTCACTAACTTAACGACTGTAGTGCTTCCCTTAAGACGGGGGGGGGGGAGCCTCGGCTCTTTTATGACTGGTGGACTTCAACTCCCAGAATTCCTGAGCCAGCCATGGTGAGGGGAAAGGGAGAGGTTTCCAAGCTGAGCCAGGCTGGCTGAGGAATTCTGGGAGTTGAAGTCCACGAGTCATGAGGGGGGGCATAGTTCCCCCATGCTGGCTCAGGAATTCTGGGAGTTGAAATCCACGAGTCATAAAAGAGCCAAGGTTGCCTACCCCTGGTCTAGGCCTAGGCCGCTTTCTGACTCGTGGACTTCAACTCCCAGAATTCCTGAGCCAGCATGGCTCAGCTTGGAAACCTCTCCCTTTCCCCTCAGCGTGGCTGGCTCAGGAATTCTGGGAGTTGAAGTCCACAGGTCATAAAGCGGCCTAGGCCTAAGACAGGAGTAGGCAACCTTGGCTCTTTTATGACTGGTGGACTTCAACTCCCAGAATTCCTGAGCCGGCATGGCTCAGCTTGGAAACCTCTCCCTTTCCCCTCAGCATGGCTGGCTCAGGAATTCTGGGAGTTGAAGTCCACGAGTCATAAAAGAGCCAAGATTGCCTACCCCTGCCTTAAGAGCTGGGGCCAAAAAGGTCGTAAAATGGGGCACAGCTCACTTAACAAATGTCCCTGGCTTAGCAACAGAAATTTGGGGGGGGGGTCACTTGAGGTTGTAAATTGAGGACTTCCTGCATGGGACACGGCCACTGTTGCGTGCCACGTTCTCCTAGGACAGCAGGAGGGGAGGGCACCTTTGCAGGAGCCTTCGCCACTCACTCAGTTGGGGGAGCCTAGAAAGCAGTGAACGGTCCCTCAAAATACATTAGGAGAATCTCAAGGCCCGCCAGCGTGCATCCCTGTGGAAAGAGTGGCCCAAACGCCTCCTCTCCATTGTGGTGACATTGATTGCCGCCTCCAGCACCAATTGGCTGCAAGAGGCAAGCCACAACCGGCCTTCATGGCTAAGGCGGGACTAGAACTCACCGTCTCCTGGTGNAATGTTCTCCTCCCCAGAGTGCCACGAGCCGGCCACGGAAGCGATCCAGCCGGCGTAAGGGCAGCCAGAAGAAGCAACTGGTGGACAATCAGCTTGAGAAGCTCCTGCAGAGACGGCGGCGTATAGTTGACCAAGCGCCGGTCCTGACCGAGCCCTCCGTCCCAGCTGCAGACCAGGGGCTCCTGCCTCCTGTCCCCGGGGCCAGGGGAGAAGACCACGCAGCTCCACCCGTGGGGCTCCCAAGGGGCCTCCAGCCCAACCAGTCAGAGTCCCCGGAGACTAGCAAAGGTCTACCAGGTAGGAACCGGTGTGCTGGACTACCCTCGCGGATTGGGTGATTTTTTTGCTATGCGCACTTCAGTTTGAGGCCTCTCATCCCACAGAAGACAATTTCTGGGTGTCCTGTGGATGGGAAAACAGAGGCATGTGTGAACCCATCCGTGGTCCCGTGTGTTACCGAGTGGGGTGGCCGTTTCGGAGCTTCTGTGCAACGTCCTGCTCATTGCAGAATATTCAGGAAGAAGATAATTCCTACAGCAGGGATCGGTCACTATTTTAGGACCTGTGGACTTCAACTCCCAGAATTCCTGAGCCAGCAAAGCTGGCTCAGGAATTCTGGGAGTTGAAGTCCACAGGTCCTAAAGTTGCCATAGTGGCCCACCCCTGTCCTAGGCACTGGGGTCTCCACAGAAGCATCACCTCTGAACATGCAACACAGTTAAAAAAAAAGCATAGTGCTTTGATGCCACCGTTGTGGGCGCCATCTTGACTTTTTTGACCTACTCTGCAGTCCCTGCCTCCTGCCGACGGGAGGCAAACTATTCCAAACTCAAAGCAGGCTTCGTGACTGCGTTGTGCAAGGCCACGCTTGGACCACTGGGTCCAGTTCTGGTTTGCCACAATCCACCCCCCAAAAAAAGAGGTTGAGATTCTGGAAAGAGTGCAGAGAAGAGCAACTAAGAGGATGAAAGGCCTGGAGACTAAAACATGTGAGAAAGAGGCGGTTACGTCTCGTTTAATGAAAAGAAGGACGACTGGGGGGAAACAGGAGAGCAGTCTTCCAGTGTTTGAGGGGCTGCCACAAAGAAGAGGGGGTCCATTTATTTTCCAAAGCACCTGAAAGCAGGACAAGAAGCAACAGATGGAAACTAATCAAGGAGAGAAGCAGCCTAGAACTAAGGAGAAACTTCCTAACAGGGAGGACAATTAACCAGTGGAACTACTTGCCACCGGAAGTTGTGGGTGCTTCATCACTGGAGATTTTAAAAAAAGAGGCTGGACAGTCACCTGTCTGAAATGGTCTAGTAGGGCCAGGGGTGGGCAACCTTGGCTCTTTTATGACTGGTGGACTTCAACTCCCAGAATTCCTGAGCCAGCATGGCTCAGCTTGGAAACTCTCCCTTTCCCCTCAGCATGGCTGGCTCAGGAATTCTGGGAGTTGAAGTCCATGAATCATAAAAGAGCCAAGGTTGCCTATCCCTGGCCTAGGGCCTAGGCCGCTTTATGACTGGTGGACTTCAACTCCCAGAATTCCTGAGCCAGCATGGCTCAGCTTGGAAACCTCTCCCATTTTCCCTCAGTATGGCTGGCTCAGGAATTCTGGGAGTTGAAGTCCACCAGTCATAAAAGAGCCAAGGTTGCCTGGCCTAGGCCGCTTTATGACTCATGGACCTCAACTCCCAGAATTCCTGAGCCAGCATGGCTCAGCTTGGAAACCTTTCCCCTCAGCGTGGCTGGCTCAGGAATTCTGGGAGTTGAAGTCCACCCATCTCCGAGTGGCGAAGGTTGAGAAATACAGGCCTAAGCCAGGAGTAGGCAACCTTGGCTCTTTTATGACTCGTGGACTTCAACTCCCAGAATTCCTGAGCCAGCAGGGGGGAACTATGGCCCCCTCAGGACTTGTGGACTTCAACTCCCAGAATTCCTGAGCCAGCATAGGGAACTATGGCCCCCTCATAGTCAAGGTTCTGCAACCTTGACAACTTGAAGACGGGTGGATTTCATCTCCCAGAATTCCTCAGCCAGCCTAGACAAGTCCACCAGTCTTCAAGTTGTCAAGGTGGCAGACCCCTGGTATAGGAGCTCCTGCTTGAGCAGGGGGTTGGACTAGATGACCTCCAAGGTCCCTTCCAGCCCCAGGCTTCTGTGGTTCCTGTCCGATCTCTTTGACCTGGTCTCACGTGGTTCTTTTCCCTTCATCTCTTAAGGAGAAGCTGACCGGCTGACCGCAGGAGCCCCCGTGCACCCCAGGCCGAAGATTGCCGAGGTTGCCTGGCTTTAACCACAGGCAGCGTCCCTTCCGGTCAGCAAACGGACCAGCTCCGTCCACCGAGGACCTTGCTCAGCCCAAGGGGAACAACTGCTTGGGAGTCTTCCAGCTGTTAGGATGCAATGTCCCACTCCAATTGCATTAGGGGTAGTCCTCGGGTTACAACCACTCGTTTAGTGATCGTTTGGAGTTACAACAGCAATAAAAAAGAACGACTTACGAGCCCAGGACTCTCGCCGCGTCCCTACATTACGTGATCAAAATTGGTGCACTTGGCAACCGGCCTGGATTTACGAGGGTTGCCTGAACCGGGCCAGGCCGGGGGGAAAACCCACACGTAGCCGCATGGAAGGTGCCCATTTTTAAAATGTCTTTATTATTTTATTCATTCAATTTATCTGCTCCCCAACTCACCGTGACAGCGACTTGGGGCGTTCCACAGGCTGGTAAAAGGGTTTTAAAAAAAAGAGAGTGCGAAAGGATTAAAGTTTGGAAGATTAAAGAGGAAAGTCAAAATCCTGGAGGAGCGGGTCAAGCGCAGAAAGGGCCTCCCCAATCTGGATAGGACTCCGAGCCAGCAACTCGCGGGTTCCCACGACCCTATTCGGGTGGACGCGGGCCGTGCCAGGCAGGAGAAGGGAGCCAGTGGTGCGTTTTGCACGAGGCTTGGGGGGACAGGGGCCCCGGGAAAAAAAAGAGCGTCACATCGGCGGTGGCCGCCTTCGCACAACGCCCTGAACCCGGACTTCGAAAGCGTGGAAGGAGGCAGCGTGTGGAGGACTGCAAAGCTTGGCGAGTTCAAGCCTTGGCTAATGGGGGGAGAGCGGGAGGGGAGGGGGAGAGACGGTTGTATGAATCCAACTCACGGGCAGGTTCTCTGCATTCCGGACAAAAGCTGGGACTTCTGTGCCTGGCCTTGGGTGTCTCCCGTGGGAAGGGGGAAAGAGTCGTCCTGCTCCTTCCCTTCCTTCCTCTCCTCCTCCTTCCTCTTCTTCTTCCCTCCCCTTCTCCTCCGCCTCTTCTTCCTCCTTCTCCTGCTTCTTCCTCCTCCTTCCTCTTCTTCTTCCTCCTCTACTTCCCCCTCCCCTCCCCTTCTCCCCCTCTTCTACTTCTTCCTCCTCCTCCTCCTT